TAGGTACAAAGGACATCTGTATGCATGTACTTCCCACATCAACCCACCCCCAAGAGCCATTTCATATTAATCTTACAAACAAGGACTCTCATTCATCTGGACATTCAAGCCCAAGTCTCTGCACCCCAGGGAGTGCTGTCTACATTGCACGCCATGCCTGTGTGACGTGCTCCCTCACACACTGCCGCTTGCATGCTACAGATAGGTATAGAATGCTCACGAAGTACGTGCCCCCGGTCTAAGCTCCAGGGAGAGAAGTGTGAATTAAACAGCTGTGGTCACTCTCCTCGAGGCGCTTACCATATTGAGAAAGGGGACAAAGCACATCAGCAGGCAATTCCCAATGGTGTGCCCGTGATGACAGAAGTTCAGAGTTCTCTGGAACACATGGGGCTGCCAATCTGCACAGCCCTACAGAGAAAAAGACATCTCTGCTGCACTGGCAGGGTTAGGTCAAAATTAGCCAGACATCCCGTGCAAAGGGAATAGCCCCCAGGTGAACCAGTGTGACACTTGATGGAACTGAGACCATTTGGGCCAGCCTAGAAAAGCCAGGGGTGGGGGGTGTTAGAGAAGATTCTGGCAAAGTCCACACCAGCCAGAGCATGAAGAGTTTATTTAGCCCTGTTAAGGAGTTTGGATTTTGTCCTGTGGTCACTGGGGAGCCCTCGAAGAGTTTTAAGCAGGAGACTAATAAGATCAGGTATGCATTTAAGAAGGCTCACACCAGGCACGTGGGTGGCTCAGTGGGTTAAGCCTCTGCCTTCGGCTCAGGTCATGATCTCAGGGTCCTGGGATCGAGCCCCGCATTGGGCTCTCTGCTCAGCAGGGAGCCTGCTTTCCCCTCTCTCTCTGCCTGCCTCTCTGCCTGCTTGTGATCTCTGTCTGTCAAACAAATAAATAAAATCTTTAAAAAAAAAAGAAGAAGAAGAAGAAGGCGGATCACACCAGCTAAAGTGTGGGAATTGGCCTGAAGGCAGATAGCATGAATGCAGGGAGCCACTCAAGTCCTTGTCCCTTGGAGGTAATGGGGTGGGGTGAGGGAACTGTTCCTTCTCTGAGGCAATGAGAGGAGGAATGAAACTAGGTGGAATGCTGTGAGAGATACAGAGGAGGAGGGCAGAGGGGAGGACAGGGGATGGATGCGTTGAGTGAAGATGGCAGTGGAGGGAGGGGCAGGAGCACGTGGGTGAGTGCCCATCCTGGCTGGTGAGATGAGGAAAAGTAAGAGGAAGGAGAATGATTTTCGGAAGCGGCGGGGAGGGGGGATCAGTTCCTCAGGTGTGTTTGTCAAGAAATAAAGCGGGACTGGGAGGGAGATCTGGGAGCTGTCTGTGGGGATGACAAGTGAAGGCACTGGTGTGATGGGGTGTCTGGGGAGAAGAGGTCACACGGGGAGAGGGTCACAACAAAACCCTGCCCACACCTGATTCACAGAATCTAAGGAACAGCGGCAGAAGAGGAGACAGAAGGAGCAACCAGGGCGAGAGATGGCTGATGTGACGTGGAAGCCAAGAAGGAGAAGGGTTTGCACTCTGCGGACAGTATCCAGCACAGACTTGGGCGCACCATGGCTGCTGTGGGATCAGTGACGGCTTGGTGTCATGGGAAGCCAGGCTTGTGAAAGAGCAGCCAGAGGACTGCATTCCTTCTCTCTTCCAAGCCCAGGCCTTGCCCCGAGGTGGAGATTTCTGTGCAGTGCACAGAGCCGCCTGCCAGCCCCCATGCTGGAAATACCCTCCCAGCAAAGCTGCCTTCCCGAAATGAGCAGTGCAGTCAATGACTCCCAGATAGGAATGCCTTGGTGCCAGGAGGAGACCCTCAAGGGCGCCCAGGTTGAGTCACAGAGCCTTGTCCCTGGCCCTGCCCAAGGTACAGCCTCCCTGACATAGACCAAGCCTCCTCCCCATGAGCAGCAGCTGAGGCTGTCCTCCAGAGGAACAGTGCACCCTGGGGAAAGTCAGCACAGGTTCAAGCACCAGGGACCCAGGCTAGTTCCCTGAGCCACCTCATTAAGGGAATGTGCCTCTTTCAGGTCAGGAAGGAGTCAGGAGTCTCCCTTTCCTAATGATCAGAACTCAGTCTGGGGCCTGAGAGAGGGGAAGCAGGGGAGCTGAGGGCGATGTGGGCTGGGCAGGTACGGAGATGCAGGTGGGCAAGGAAGAATGTGGCAGAAATGGGGGTCACCTTCTTTCTCATCTCTCCCACCTCCCCTGCACTCTCCTCTTCTTCTCCTCGGGGCTGGGCTTTCTCAGGGAAGAGTTTGTCTTGACAACTGGAGATCAGGAACACATGTGGGTGGGGTGGCCTGGAGCAGTGACAAGTGCAGAGTGAAGGGAAAATGGTCTCATGTGGACAGCACGGCCCTCAGTGCACACCTCTTCAGTGGGCAAAACCATTTTAGCTCAGCGCTGAGCTGCAGGGGAGATACTGGAACAGCTCATGGCTCCCCCCGCTGGGTCTGTCAGCCCTGGCAGGGCAGCTCTTCAGAGCGGGTTCACCTCAGCACGAAGCAGCTCCCTCCAGGACAAATGTGGGCACCACCAAGGCTTGGGGTGCGCCAGCCCAGGCCCTCTGTCAGGGCTTCTCTGAAGAGTCGCTGTGGAGACAGCCTGGACTGCCTTGATATCTTCCCCTTTTCTTTCTCTACTCTGGTTTCCTCCAGAATTGACATGAATTTCAGCAGCTCTGCAACCTTGTTCTCATATATTCCTGATTCTCGAAAATCCAAATGGGTGAGTGGACGCTATGGGAGCAGGCACCACGAGGAGTCTTTCACCAAGCAGGGAAGGATTATCAAGCCCTGTGGAGTCCTAGGTTCTGGGGATGGACAGAGCCAACCGTCCAACAGTTACAGTCCCCCTGCTTGGCAGAACTTACAGGATGAAAATAGCCCCGACTTCTGAGTGGCCTGGCCCACAGCTCGGACGCTGCCTGTCTGGCAGGCAAAGGCCAGCATGAGCCCACAGAGCCCAGCACAGGGACTTATGAGAATGTCTGCTGAACCGAATTCAGTCTGAGTGGCATCAAATGGACCTGCATTTCTCTTCCAAAGGGTACAGGCCCTAGCTGAAGAGAGCACATCCATAAATCTGTCACAAGCCTGAACAGCCTAATAAGGGAACTGGGGTGGAGACCCAAGAAGCATAACACTGAGAGGAAATTTAGTCCCCTTCCTTGGAAACTTCCCATCTGCAGTCACAAGCCAAGCAGCCAGACTCGGAAAATAGCAGTGACATAATTCACACTTCTCCCTCATCAAGCACAGGGCCGTAGCGGCACTCTGGCTTCTGCCCACGTTGTTCCCCTGCCTGGAATGCCCTCCTCTTCCTACCTCTTCTAACAAAATCCTACACCACTAAAGAACTTAACAGACGAAACAACATGATACCTGGGATTTATGAGACCCAGAAAGATTTGGGGGGTGGGGAGGGAATGCGGAGAGAAGAGATCGTTAAAATCAAATTGGCTCAGTGTCGATAGTTAATGACTATTAACTCATGGGTAGGATTTTCTAATATGTCCTATGCATCCACGAAAGCCGGGTCAGTCCTACCTTGTCATGATGCTTTCCTGACTACTCTCCACTCATGGAAAGACCCCTCCCCAGTCATAGCCCAGTGGCTTAGCCAGCGTTAGCCACGGTAGTGCAATGAATTACTGTAGCCATTTATTATGGATTTGTTTCATAGCCTTTCAGTTGCCCTTTAAATTCCATGGCAGAGAGGAGAAAGGAAAGGCTTCTTTCCCTTTCTTTCTTAAGGGTCCCCCATGTATAAGGGACCAGACCGCATTTTCTCACATAGACCAGATCCTACGCTGCTTTGCCAGCGCAACGTTGGGCTCTCAGCAGGCATCTCATACATATTTGTTGGCAAATATGTAGAAGTCATTGAGTAAACATCAGCACCACCATCCAACAGACTATAGACAGCCATCAAAGATAATGGACATGGAGACGAACCATTAGAGACGGTGAACTCTGAAAAACAATCTGAGGGTTTTGGAGGGGCAGGGGGTGGGAGGTTGGGTGAACCTGGTGGTGGGTATTATGGAGGGCACGTATTGCATGGAGCACTGGGTGTGGTGCATAAACAATGAATTTTGTAACACTGAAAAGAAATCAAAAAAATAAATAAAAAATTTTAAAAAAAGATAATGGACAAGTTTCTAATGATGTGCAGAGGGATTAGTACTGTTATGTAAAAAATAACCAAAGCACAAAATCATGTGGATGGTATGAGCTTAACTCTATAAAAAGTGAGTAGAAAAAAGACTGGTTGGAGCTCAAAATGAGCGGATTTCTGGGGAGGGGTTATTGGGGATCTTTTTTTGTTTTGTTTTTATACTTTCAAAATGTGATTTAACATCATATGCAACAGGAGTCAGCATCCTTCTGTCAGGGGTCACATAGTAAATATTTTCAGCTTCACAGGCCATACAGTCTTTGTCACAACTACTCAGCTCTGCTAACGCAACCTGAAAGCAGCCATAGACAATCTCTAAATGCATTGTGGTGGCTCTGGTTCAATACGATTTTATTTACAGAAGTAGGTGGAGGCCTGGATGTGTTTCACAACCAGCCATAATTGGCCAGCCTCAGACCTATTAATTAATAATCAGAAAAAAATGTTATTTAAGTTATAGTAAGCATGTATTCTCGACTATAACTAAAAGCTCTTGATAATGTGATTAATAGAGAAGAGCAGGGCACAAACATCTTACAATGCTTTATTCCAGTACCCTTGCATCATAAAACACTCAAAATTGTAAGTCATAATTCTGTGCTGGATAAAAAAGTAAAAATTCACAATACTAGTAATTAATACAAATTTTAGCTCTATTTTTAAGCCCACTATATGTCATTTATTTAGAATTTCTTTTATCTCTTTCCATAAAGTTTTAAATTATTTTAGAGAGTTCTCAGAAATCTATTATTTTTAACGCATAATTTGGGATGAACAGAAATCGGCAAATTCTTTTTTTTTTTCTCCCTGCAGATTTTCTGAAGCGAAGGCCCTCGGAGAAAGTATAAATGAAACAAGAAGCAAAATTGGTAAGCAGATGTTATTCTGTGAGCATCTTTCACAGACCATTTTCCTAGTGAAAATCAGGTCATGATGTCCCTCCAAATAACCATCAGGCCGAGTTTCAGGGCATCCCTGCCAAGGAAGCTGCTTTGAGAGTGCCTTTCCTTGGAAGTTTGTCATCTCCCCTACCATCCATCAGGAAAAGTGTTTTCTTTTGTCTAGAACTTGAACTTTTCATCCTCATGAAGGCCTGAGCTCTAGCATCCCAATGAGAAAGTTTTGCTTTTCCCCCAGTGTTCCTCAACAATAGCTCAACTAGTCATAAAGGCAAGACTACAATGAAGTTTCATATTTTCAAGTGCTGTGAAACACTTCTACACCCACCCCCAAAAAGCTTATACTTAGCATTTTTGGCACAGGCATGCATTTTTCAGCACCATCCAATAAGCCTGTGGAAGGAGGAGAAGGAAAATGAGCCTCTGTGCCTTCCCAGGACACGGGCTGCCCAGCAGGGCCCCACCATGTAGGTGAACGTCCCTGGAAAGATGAGGTTAAGGCAGGAGGCAAACTCAATTAAAGTATGCTTCATATTTTTCTCAAAGTGAGAGGAAAATGTTGCCTTCATCCCAAACTAGAAGACACCTAGGGACCCATCTCCCAGACTGGGGCAGCTCTGTAGAGCAGCCCCTTGTGCCTTTGCCTCTTGCCAGAGAAGGTGACGTCCTGCATCTATCTCCCTTGCCCCCATCTTCCTCCCCTCCTACATGAGGGCAGGACAGAAGCCACTGTGAGTGTCCCCATTGGCTTTTCCTACAGAATATGGAAAATTACAACAGCTTCAGACACTCAGTCCCTAAATAGGAGTCTCATGTTCTCCTCTGCTGCCTGAGGCAGCCAGGCCCTGGGCCATGCCCAACACCATGCAGAGAATCTCTATAGTCTCAGGGGTTCTTAACCTAAGATCTAGGAACTCGGATAGGGGGGAAATTAGCCTTTATTTTCACCAACCTCTAACTGCAATTTAGCGTATTTTCAGGGATGAATGGAGGCAGCTGACCCCAGTAGGACTAGCAACACCTGTCATCCATGGAAATTGCAGACATTTTCATTTCACAGCCCAGTGTGGCAGATATAAAAAAATATCTTTTATATGCATCAGGATTTCAAAATTATGGTAGTTATTAGACTCAGCATTTGATCTTATTATTTGATGCATTTATATAAAAGCATATAGACATTTCTGTACCACAAAAAGTTTTAAAATTTGGATAACTATTTCAGTATAACTCATTTCTCTTAAAATCCTTTTTTTTCCCCATGCTATGTACCCAAAAAATCTTCATTCTGAGAGAGGGTCCATGGTTTTATCAGACTGCCAGAAGGATCCCTGGCAAAAAACAAAGATCAAACTCCTTTCTTGACCTGTGTTCCCAAACCCCTAAAACTGCATGAAAAAGAAAACTGGGTGTTAAGGGTGTGTACATTTTTCTGGAGAGGTCTGATTATCAGAAAGGTCAGTGACCCAAACCAATATGGAAATTGACTCTATGTCAGTGCCCCATCAGCTATGCCAGGACTTGAGGGCTAAGGAGCAGCCCAGGCCCAGCAGCAGGACCATGCTGGCACACCTGGCTGGATGACCTGGAAGGAAGGGAGGTAGGGAGGGAAGGAGAAGCAGGCCTCAGTGCATCCGGGGTGGACTTATCAGCCTTATGGGACTCAAAGGACCCAGTGGTCTGTTTTTATCCCTGGAGGGATAAGAGGGAAAGACCTTTTATAAACTGCTTCTCCCCAGAAAGTAATATGAAGTTTTTCTCTTGAAAAATATCTCTCTCAACCAAAATAAAACCAAAGCGTTCATTCTGACACTAATGAAATAGACTCATGATGAAAGACACCAATGGCCTATACTAATATAGTTTTTCACTCTGAGTACAGGTGGTTGTCACAAGTAATTCTGAATTCTCCCTAGTTTTGGTGCAATATCATATGTTCATAGATCTGGTTTGCCACATTCTCAAGAGGAGGCAAGTCAGACGTTGACCTACAGCTCTGCTGGTTGTGCCCTGCCCAAGAGCCAGGTTCCGAGGGTAGGGGGGTGGCTGTAATTTATTTCTCAGTGAGGATGATCTGGACACACAAAGGGTCCAGATATGCCAGCAGAAACCCTGGGAAGTGGACCTTTGTTTTTTCTGGGTCATAACAAGCAGAGCTCATACCAGTGTTGAGATTCAAGCATTCAGCACTACCAAGAAAGTAGCTAGTTTAGTGGTCCCAATAGTCCCAAAGTCACTCTTCCGCTACTTTATGCAAAGAGCAGACTAAAACCCATCCCCTGGCCACCCAACTTCCTAATGTGCATTTGATCCAAGGGGGCCCGGGTGAGGTGGATCACTGATACTCAGCCTTATTACTGAACAAGCTGTCATGGTCCGTGACCTCAGGAAGCAGCCTGCCATCACTGCATGTCAGAGACAAGGCTAAGATTAAGGAAGTGTAAGGTGGAACTTGTACACACATTTAAATTCAAAATCTCCGAGGGAGTCTTGAAGGAAACTGACTTCAGGAGATTTGTGACCTTTCTAAGCACATTTTTTCCTATGGAGAAATTAAATCAAGTGGAATTTTTAGTTCCCAGTGACTGAAATCTTAGACTTAGTGAATCTAAAAGTCAGGAGGTGGGAGCTTGGCACAGTTGTACCATCACATGTGCGGGATGGTGACTCAGCTCCGCTCCCAAACTGTGCCACATCCTGCCTCTGGACCCTGAGGCAGGAATGGGATGCTGTGGAGTACACATGGAATTGGCCTGCAGAGAGGAAATGAAAACTGTATTTGTGAACTACAGATTAGCCAGCCCATGTGTTTCAAGTTCAGGTTCCTTCCTGGGTAATTTTTCTCTGATATTGTGATCTAGAACTGTCACTTGAGTGTCATCCTCAAAAATTCCTAAAGGCTAACAATTCAGTTATAACCACATAATATCTAATTTTACATGGCATAATAAGTCAACCAAAACTCCCATGTTACTTTCTTTTCTTGTAATAAGCCAACACAAACTAGGTGGATAAACTCTTGCCACCAAATCCTTTTCTGTCCTTCTGTACACCATTTACATCAATTCTGATGTCGAATCAGTTGAAATCAGAAATGGAAGAAATAACCAATTTAGAATCTCCCCCAAAAAATTAGAGTCTTTGTTTCTGTAGAAGAGGTGTCTTCATTGTATTTATGTGTCCCAAACACAAGAGCATTAGACTGCGTTTCACCACCTGGGCTGTGTATTTGACACATTCACATATGCCCTGCTTCCATTCATCATATCTCTGAAACTGCAATTGAGCCCAAACTGGGGGGAAGGAAGATAGACTGTGTGAGAAACAATGGCATCAACCAGGCCACTTTTCACTTGCTAGAATTCTGGCATTCCTTCTTCTACATCAGTGTTCTACCACTGGCAGCATTGTCTTTGGCAACAAGGAACAATGAAGGGCTGTCCTTTGGCATGAGGCCCACACCTAGACCAGTCCAGGAGTCAGCTGCTTTAGGAGAGAGGAAAGGGCTTGATTGACAACCTCTTCATCTTCCACTGACCCCTCCAGGCCTAAATGAAAACTAGCATCACAGGATGCCACACAGAAGGGTTTTCACTAGTGGGCCAATCAGTGATCAGTTCAAAAGTCACAGAAAATGTAATGGCAGTAGCTGTTAGCAGGAGGTAAAGGGAAATGCTAGAAAGCTAACAAAATGCTCTGGAAGGTTTCTTTCTCCTAACTCAACTTCAAAGAACCCCAGCCACCCCTCCCCACATTTGAAGAACACTCTTATATAAACTGTTTCTCTTACATATTTGGGCATTAAGAAAAATCATTTCTCAGATCCAGGTCTCCATCAGCAGGGTAAATAGGATGATTTTCAGTTGTGTGCCTTTCTGTACTGGGATCTTCCCTTGAGGTTTGCTTTTGGACCTGTTGGTGCATGTTGGTTTCTAGTAGCTTATCCAGGAGTAGGGGAAAGATGACATCTGGGTCATTTTGCTAGATTATGAAGACCTGAATTAAGTATATATTTTGTTGCTCTTTGTCACTAGTCCCAATTAACAACTGCCCCAACAACAGCTTCCACCATGTATTAAGCACTGACTGTGTCATGCCAAAACTTGACATATACTATCTCATTTAATCCTCTCAAAGAAGAGCCATGACCTACGGGGGGACAGGAGTATTACCTTATGTCATATATTATAGATCATGATTTTTAGTGTTAATGCATCTGAAAATCAAGATATATTTGGCCATTTTTTCACAGTTTACAAACCTCTAGAATGAAGATGAATCTTAACATTGATGTAATCTAGGTTCTATGAAATAGGGAATTATCATTATTTTGCAGATTTTAAAAAATGAAATTTCAATGAGGTTTCCTGCTATATGACTAAGTGAGAATCAAATTTCATTTCTGTCCAACTCCAAAAATTTTTTAACATCTTTATTTTATTTTACTTTTTTCAGTGTTCCAAGATTCATTGTTTAAACACCGCACCCAGTACTCCATCCAATATATGCCCTCCTCAATACCTACCACCAGGCTCACCCTTCCTCCCTACCCCCTCCCTTCCAAATCCCTCAGTTTGTTTCTCAGAGTCCACAGTCTCTCATGCTTCGCCTCCCCCTCGGATTTCCCCCAATTCACTTTTCCTTTCCTTCTCCTAATGGCCTCCAAAACTTTTAAATACAGTTTATGATCTCCATAAATTCAGATTGATCTGACTTTGACATTTGTTTCTGAGTTTAAAATTTTACTCAGCTGTTACTCAGGTCTCTCTTTGGCCTTTATCCTGTGTACCCAACAAAAGACTCAAACTTCAGCCTAGCTCATGCACACACAGCTCATGAAGATGAAAAGGGTCTTTGTAACATGATTAACGATAGGTTGTCTTGTGCCTGTTAGGGCTCAGTTGCAGGGGCGGGTGGCACCTGAAACTCAGCCTGCCCTTGCTGTCATTTCCATTGCACCAGCCCAGGCT